CATTGCAGGAACCCACACATGCGCACGCCTGGCCCTCGGGTGTGGGCGGCAGCCTGCATGGTGTGAGGATGGCTGCTGGGAAGGACCCTCCTGAAATATCTCCGCCGTTCATCTGCTGCCAATGTGCTTGGCTCCCGTCATTCCAGAACGATGCTATCCCAAGTCTCTGTTTCAAAATGCCAGTACTACTGTGATGAGGGCCTTCCCTTCTGTGAGGAAAGGAACTTTGTTTGGATGGATGTTGAAACTGGTTTGCTTTTTGCTGAGTCCAAAATAGTTCTCCTGCAGGTGAGAGAGGGCTGCCCAGGGCTGAGTGGAGAGCAGGGGGCTTCCTTCTGTCAAGTCGTGGGGAGGTTACAGGGGGTCACTTGGTGAAGCACCCTGGGCTTAGGCTCCGCACGGACCTTGGTTTGAATCCTGGCAGCTGGGTGATCTTTCTCAGGGTATATTTTCCCTTCTGCACTTGAGTTCCTCACTGCTTTGGATATTTGTGAACACAATTTGGGGGAACATCTTTTTCTGGAAGAGTTGAGGTCCAGCCCCGCACCTGCCCTGCCAAGTGGGCATGTTCTAAGGAGAAGCCAGAGCCTGATGCAGTGAAATACCTCCACCTGCCTGCTCCTCCCAGCAAGCCTGTCTCTGCCCCTCTTTCAGATTCTGATGGCTGATGAGCAGGAATCTGTCATCCCTCCCCCACTGACACTGCCCCCAAGTCCATCTTTCTGCCCCTACTGGTGCTGGGTGTTTGTGAAACTTTTCCTGATGGTGGAAGGAGGGTACTGGGAACCATTTGGATCCTGTGTCACTTGAGGACAACAGTGGCACCTGTCTCCCCAGGCCTGGCTGCACAGCTGAGATGGAGTGGCTGGTGCCTGGTGCATCAGGGGTGCTTGATGGATGTTGGTGACACCCCAACCTTTTCTGTTCCCAAGGTCCCCGCATTATGAGTGCAGGATAACATTGGTAACCCCTTGATCCACTCAGCCCTGGAGATGGATGGCAGGGAGTCCACAGAGCCACCAGATGGCAAAGCTAGGGAGGACAGTGCTGGACCCCAGCTGATGTCTCTCTGTGCAGACAGATTTTCATCCTCCCTGGGTGCTGGCTGCCTGTGGCTAACCTAGTCTCTGTCACCTTCCCTTTCTCCTAGTCTTTATCTCTCCCCTTGTTCACAGGATTACTGTGAAGGTTTGTTGCCTAGGTGACAATTTTCACAACACCATTGTGTCTGCAGCTGTGTCCCCCTCATTCAGAATGGTGCCTGGTATATAGTAGGCGCTCAGCAGACATTTCTGGAATGAATGAAAGGATTAATGAATGAACACTTTTGAATGACACCATTCCACTGGGTTCAATGTTTCTGAACTCAAGTTTTCCAGATCCTTGAAGGGGACAAAATCTATCCTGAGATCCACAGCTCAGACTGCTCAGGAAGAGGAAAGGGGACCCAGCTTCCCCTGCAGCTAAATCCACGTGGACTACAGCTTAATAAGTTTGTTCTGTAATAATTCACTTAATAAAAATGCATTGAGAACTACTATGTTTTAAATATGTGTCCTCCAAAAGTTGCAGATCAAATTTAATGGCCAGTGAGACGGCAACAAGGGGTGATTGGACCACAAGGACTCTGCCTTTGTCCCCTGCATGAAGGCAGGACAACATGGTGCCATCTTGCAAGAAGGGTGCAGCCCTCCTCAGACACCAAAAACACCCTCACCTGGATCTTGAACTTCTCAACCTCCAGCACTGGAAGAAGATAAATTTGTACAAGGTGGAGCTTAGGACCTCTTGGAAGCCCACACTTCCCAGTAAGAATTCAGGGAGATGGGGTGGGGTGGAGTTTCTACTCTGTGGGGAGGAGGGATGCAGGGGGGCAGCTCCACACTGGGGTCTGGCCAGGACAAATGGAGCCCCAGGCTTGGGAGGTGGAGCCTGCCTGCCTCTCTTGGGGGCAGGGTAGCGGGGAGGTGGTTCTCTCCTCCTTCAGCATCCTGGCACAGCATGCAAAGCGCTGCTGCTTTCCCTGGAGTGCCCAGAGCCAGGCAGAGTGCCAACTCGTTAGGAAGAGCTTCACAGCCACGGAGAGCCAGGAGGGGTGATGCCGGGCGGGGGGAGAGGATGACAGTTTCCTGCCCATCAGCCATCAGCCCCTGACAGGCTGCTGAACAGGAAAGAGCCTGCCAGGAGGAGTTGGGGGAGGTGGTGGTGGTATTTTCCTGGCTCCAGCTCCTGAGAACATGTGGGGCTGGGGCTAGGCTGGGTCCCACCTCTGCCGGAGCATGTTCTGCCAGCCTGGCCTGTGGAGTCCCGGGAGAGGGATTTGGTTTGGAGTGAGAAGAAGTGTGAACACAGCACGAGAGGGAGACCTTTATGGGCAGGGTAGTGGCTGTCTGACTAGAGGCCCTACCCACAAAGCAGGCAGGGCTTGAGTCTGATACCAGGAAGAGCTAGATGGCAGGGCCAGTTGTCAGATGGAATTGTACACACAAAGAATTCTTTCATTTTTACTGACCTTTCTAATGTGGAGTCCTGAGTGAGTGGATGTAAATAAGGCCAAATCTCTGCTCTCAAGGAGTCCATGAGTGAGATGACTCGGCCAGCTAAATACCCAGCCAATATCAGGGATGCCAGTACCAGTGGAATCCTGCCTGCCTCTCTTGGGTGGGACCAGGCAGTCACAGTCACTTTCCAGAAGGCAGTATTTGAACTGGGCCTCAGCATACCAGGAAGAGTAGGGAGTGTGGACAGAGACCCTGGGGTGGGTAAGTGGGAGACCCAGGCAGCCTTGCACCAGTTGGTGGGAGCTTGAAATTTCCACTAGAGGGCTGAGGCAGATGCCCTTGGTCAGGAAGGCTGGCTCGCCTGACCATTGGCCAATAAGCACGGCCCATTCTCCTGGCTGTGTGATTGGCTCCATAAGTCACGTGACGCAGGATGATCCCATGAGAACCTACCATGGGACTTCTGCTGGAATCACCACATCCCTTGTGTCGGTTGCAGCCACGGGAGGAATCAGCCTTTGATGGAGAGAGACAATGACTAGGAAGGACAGATGTGGGTCCGAGGCCTGCACCATCCCATCCCTGTATGAGGTTCATGTTTGTAGAACAAAGAACTCAAAGCTGGTCCACTTGGAAGTCGAACATCTGGCTGCCGCCTCTGTCATCCCGCTTCCCCATTCTGCGTGTGTCCTGTTTAATATCTGTGCATGCGAACACCAGGACGTAGGATATTTGTCATTGTCTTGAATTTCTTGACCCATCTACCTGGCCCTCTGCTTTCCTCCATCTTGACAAGATTGGAGGGAACCCGTAGGGACTTTGCATATTGAAAGAAGCTGAAGACCCTGCTTGTCCCCTCCCTCTTTGCCAGCAGTTCAGAGGGGGTCAGTCTGTCCCCCACACACGCGGCCCACGGCCCAGGATGGGGGGGATGGGGCCCGGTGCTTTCTCCCACCTTTCCCCCACGTCCATTCTCGGGGGACTTGGGAAGTTTATTGTTTCCCTGACTGGCTTTTCTGGCAAGACTCAAATTAATTTTCCATCTTTCCCCCTCTCCCAAGCCTCGCAATCATTAAATGCCAGGGAAAGCTAAATAAACAGCTGATTTACGGAAGCATTTTCTTTCTTTCTTTTTTCAAAGTGGGAGCTTCCATTAATCAGCTGTGCCGAGAGCGGCCTGATTAAGCAGTTGGCAAACCTTTCAGAGGGGCGAGTGCAGGGTCAGAGGGCGCTGGGGCTGGCAAGAGGCTCCTAATCAGGGACTAAAAATAACGCAGGACCAGGCCCCCACCTCTTCTCCCTGCGCAGGTCTATGGTGGCCTTGTCTGCCGGAGGAACACCGCAATGCATCTGCTGGAGACCTGGGGTCTTACCTTGAGGGAGAGTTTTTAAAATGTTATCATTCAACTCTGTCATTGTTGAGAGTCAGAGAGGGTGAGACACCTGCCCGGGGTCCCACAGCAAGGTCATGGTCACATGGCATTAGAGTCCTGCATTTCAATGTAACAGACAAAGGAAGGGCATCATATATACTGGTGCCATCACACTGTCATACCCATGGCATGCACAGGGATCCTCTTGCGGGTACTGAACACAGACATCCCTAGGCTGTATGCATGTGTATCCTGGCACACAGAGTGGCTGTTGAATCTCTGGGTGGCAGAGGGCCTCCAACTGGCCTGGGAGTTCCCCTGCACCTCTCCTGGAATGGCCTTCAGCAGACGGAGGACAACTGCCCTCCTGCCACCCACCCACCCACTCACTCTGCTGCCCCTGAGCCCTCGAACCCTGTCTGCAGCCTTGCTGAGATGCCAGGGCAGCGAGGGGTGAGTGGCCAAGTCAGCACCTGGTTCCAGTATTTTCTTTTTTTTATTTATTTAAGGAAAGATTAAACAAAACAGAAAATAGGTAGAAATAGTACATACGTTCAGAGGAAAAAAAACAGTGAGAAATCACTAGTTGATGTTGTCATTTTACAAATAGTTGTTCAAGGTACAAAAATGGAACATGTAAAGTGGGAATTCAAACAGAGAGACTGCAAACAGTTCTGTTCAACTATCCAACAAAAACTTAGAAATATGGTTATCAATCCTACACACTTAAACATACATGCAGTTATCCATATCTTCAATTATGTTTAGATTAAACAAACTAAAGCAGGTTAAAATCATTCTGAACTTCACATCGTGACACTCTGTGATCAGCACTGGGTACTGTAGTGTCTTCTTTTTAAAACTGAATTTAAAGAAAGACTAAAAAACAGAAAATGGGTAGAAATAATACATAATTTCAAAGAAAAAATAAACGGTAAGACCTCACTAGTTGATGATTACAGATTGTCTTCTTACAAATAGTTATTCAAGATACTAAAGTGGAATATATAAAGTGGGGATTCAAACAGTGAGATTGCAACCAGTTCTGTTCAACTATGCAACCAAAAGTTAGAAATATGGTTATTGTTAGACCGGTGTCGCGAGGAAGACTCTAAGGGCCTCGCTCTCATGTAAAAACAATGGGGTTTTTATTATTCCGTGTACACGGGGTCCTCCAAACAGGTGGAAACGGAGAACCCTGAGTTGGGGCAAGGCTGGTGTTTTTAAGGATGAAAACCGCAAAGCAAGCAAGCATTGTTACAGAAGCCAATCATAGCAGTTAGAGCAGAACAGTTGGTGATTTGTCCATTTGTGATTGGTCAGATCATGAGGGGTGACCAGTGGGTCAGAGTTGATTAACTGTCTTGTTTTGCACAGCTTATTTTTAGGTCACCTAGCTCCTGTGTGGCTTGGTTCTGACATACTTCCCAATCTTGATTAGCATAGTCAGCAGACTTTATCTCTGAGTTTCCTGACATAATTACCTTACTTTAGCACCACAACCTTTCTATTTGTAGAGGGCAACAATGGTTAACATATCAATTGGGTAAGATTTTACAATTCTTTACAGAAGAGAGCATTGATTAACATATCAATCTTTTACCCAGGGGAAAAGGAAGACACACATTTACAGTTACAGGTATTACTATGATATAAACAAAGCTATTTCTGTGAAGAATGTACAATCTAATACAATCTGATGCAATTAACACAATTTGTGACGGGGCTACCAGATAGAGAAGACCCAGGATGTCAGGAGCTAGTACCTCAGGCCTTTGTTTTATGGCCTTTAGGAAGTTAAAACTTAACCTAGTTGGATTTGAAGGGAGAAGGGGAGGGGAAGCAGCAGATGGAACGAGCTTTCTTCGTCTCTTCAGTTATCAATCCTATACACTTAAACATATATGCAGTTATCCATATCTTCAATTATGTTGACTTTGAATAAACCCAAGCAGGTTAATATCACTCTGAACAAAGAATAACACTATTGCTGGGTTTCACATTATGACAGTCCAGGATCAGCACTGGCTATTTTAGTGTCTCCTTTTCTTCAAAGTATCTGTTCATTTCATCAATTATCATAAGATCAGTTCTCATAAACTGTTTATAGATTCTACACATGCATGAGTCTTAACATGTATTTCTTTTTTTTTAATTTTGAAAGTAGTAAAAATGTAACAGCACAAAACAGAACAAAGCCAATCGAGACAATGCAGTGAAATTGGTACAGGACTTCACAGTAGGATATTGGGACAGTAGTACTAAGTACCATGGTATATCTCTTTAACTTAACAATAGCTGTCCAGTCAATTACCTATTGTAAAATCAAACCAAAAACAGAACATTATAAATCCAATTGAGAGTATTGAATAGAGCAAAGAAAGAAAACAGTGAAAACAACCTTTACCTTCAAACAGAAGATAGAAGGAAATCCCCCGTATTTGCTATACTGCATATGGTCGTCCTCCCAAGAGATGCTGAGACATCTATCCCCAGTAGCTACGGGGGGAGGGGGCGGGAAGGGGAAGGTTGTTTGATTTTCAGCTCGCATGGCAGCAGGCTGACAGGTAATGGTCTTCTCCAGGCCCAAGCTGCAGGTGCTTACCAAGAGGGCGGGTGAATAAGCTGCCTGAGTCCCTCCATGGCCGGATCCCTGGAGCCTGGTTCCAGTATTTTCCACCCCCTAAGCCCAGGACGACCTGAGGCCCACCAAGCGCTGTGCATTTCCCCTTGTGTAAGGAGGAGTGGTGGTCTTACTTCTCAAGACTGTGGTGGGGGTGAAGTTTCCCAAATATCTATTACTCGGGCTGTTCAGCAAATGGGCCCGAGGGCTCTGTTTCCAAAGGGCACTCAGTCTTAGGGCTCCCTGCCTGGCCCTAGTAGGTGTTCAGACCAGAAAGTGGACGTTGGTCTCTGCTGTGGTTTTAATGTGTCCAGCCAAAATTCCTGTGTTGGAAACTTTATCCCTGTGCCGGTCAGGTTTTTGTCATTGTGACCAAAATACCTGCGACCAACAACATAAAAGAGGAGCGGTTCTTTTGGCTCATGGTTTCAAGGGTGACAGTCCATGGTCAGCTGATTCCAGGCCGAAACATGGTTGAGGAAGGACACAGCCTCATGGGGGAGTCGGAGAGAAATGTGCAGCGTTTCCTCCTGCAATGAGGCCCTCAGGGGTGTCATCCATGGGGGAGCTCAGTGCCAATCACACTCTCAGCACCTCTGAATTCAATCAAGCTGACAATTAGCCAGCAGGTGCTAGAAAGATTCTGGAGCCATGAGAAAAGGTCACTCGTTCCCAAAGGGGACACAGGGAGGGGCTGCCTCTGCAAGGGACAGCCCTGAGGTGGGCCTTGATTCCCCAGATGCCACATCCTTTGTTTCTGTTTCTCAGCACATTATCTTCCCTTCTTTCCCAGGCTTGGCTCCCAGGGTGGGTGGGAAGTGCCCAGGTAGTCACGGGACCACCTGGCTGTGGCTGATCCGAGGGGACCAGTGATCTGGGCCTCAGGAATCTGGAGGTCAGAGAGGAGCCAGGGCAGGGCAGGAAGGAGACGTGGGTGGGGGACAGGGGGAGATGAGCCTGGCTCTGCTTTGCTTTCGTTTCTAGTTCCTGAGTCCCAGCTGTGTTGGCAGCTTCCGGGTCCATGGGCTCCGTACCCCCATCATCAGTCCCCTCAACTCACTGGAAGTTGGAGTGGCCACCGGCCCTGCCACCCGATGATTCATCAGTACAGAAGATAGAAACGGCACGGGAGGCATGGAGAAGCACTGGGACAGAGGCCGGGGCTCCTGCGGGCTGTCAGAAGGATGCGAGGGGATCCCGGGACCGAGGAGCTCTCCCCTGGGGTCCCTGGGCATGATCACCCAGAGCCCTGCATGCCTTGACCTTGCAGATCACGCCCAGGTGTCGCAGGCCATCCTGTGGTGAGGCAGCTGGGCGTCTGTCTTGCCCGAGTCTTGTAGCTCATTTTCAGTCAGGCCCCGTCTTAGCCTATAGCAGAGTTAATTAAACATTGCCTTCCCTCAGCAAGGAGATGAAAAGCAGCCTCCTGATACAACAATTAGTGTTTACCGCCCCGCCTGCCCTCTTCCTCCCCGGCCTGCCTGCCTTAACACCGGGTCTTTATTCCTGTAGACTGGGAGCCCCTCTGCCTGCTGCCCATAAATTAGCATTAAGAAGCCGGGAGGGAAGGAGGGGAGCAGGGACGCAGGGGACCCTCTGTGGGTCTCAGCCTGTTTCCTCGTCCATGAAACAGGGGTTACGTGGCCTACTTTATAGACTTGTTGCAATCCAAGGAGGAAGGAAAGTGCCGATCAAAATGCCTGACCTGGACACATCCTCTGCCTTGTCCTCTTGTCTTGAGTCAGGTAGGACCACAGACCAGGGCCAGCTGGGCCTCACTGTGCTGTGTGACGTCAGACTGGCTACTTGGCTTCTCTGGGCCTCTGTAGAAGGAAGTCTGTAGGCACAAACCCTGGAAAGCCCAGAGTGGGATGACGCTTTTTCTCCTCTTCTTGGTCCTCAGACCCAGCTGTGGACTTCAGGGGAGACTGAGGCAGGCAGCGAGTGTTCTCAGGAAAGACTTAAAGTTCCTTCCCTCGTAGCCGACCAAGTCTATGCCTAAGACTGAGGAGTGGGGGGTGACTTCTTGGGTACCTCAGTTTCCTGTTTTGCAAAACAGAGAAAATGCAGCCTGATGCTCAGAGCAGAGAGCACAGGGCGAAGCTTCCAGGGTGTGACTCTCCTCCCATGCACCGCCATCCTCGACTGACTAACGGACCTTGCTACTCTGCAGACAGGAAACACTTTTGAGCACTGCTGGCTCCAGAGATGGCGAAGACAGACTCAGAAATGCTGATCTCACGAGCAGAGGTCAAAGCCAAAGAGTCTGAAAACAAACCGTGGCCTGCACATGGGATGGGTCCTTTTTAGGGATGGATCTATCTGGAGCCAAGTGGGAGCTATAGAGATAAGGGCTGGAGGGGCTGAGAAACCAGGAATGAGCTTCGGGGCACAGGACGGCACAGCCTGGCTCGGACCGCTGCCAGCCCAGGCCTCCTGACTTGGAAGTTCACGCTGGGTCTAACCTGAGTCCTTCCTGCTGCAAAAGAGGTTCACTGTGCTTCAGTGACAACTTTGAGGGGCGACGCTGATGGTGGTGCATGAGCCCCTGCGGACACTGGTACCCGTCTCACCACTCAGAGACAGGCTGCCATTGAAAAATAACTAAAAACCTGGGCTTCGCCAGTGATGGGGCATCAACTCACAGGAAAGAACGGACGTGCTCTAAGTGCAGAATCCTTGTCCTCCCTAAGCGCCATCCCGGCCTGAGCTGCACTCGGTGACCTTGGCCAAGCTGTCCGTGGGGCACAGAGGGACGAGCTGCTCTTGGGTCGTCTCAGCACCCACCTCCGCTGGGGAAGGGACCTCTGTGGTCCGGTCCACAGTGCTGCTGTCCTGCCTTGCTTCCCTTGGGCTGAAGGACTCCTCTTCCCCGGCCAGCTCCTTAGTGGTAAGGAGGGTCTTCCCGCTTGTGCTCACCTTGGGCACTGCCCAGGAGGGTCCCCTTTCTGGGCCTCCCCTGAGTGAGCCCTGGGTCTGCTCCTGCCTCCTGCCCAGTCAGCACAGTAAGTGGCTATGGTTCCTGGTTGGTGCGGTGTTGACGCCCCTGGGTCCTGAGGCTGGGCACCCAGCTCTGCTGATCTCTCTCTCTGCGCAGCTTTGCTCCCCTGGCCTTCAGTGTCCTCTGCTGGAAATGGGCATGGTGAAGAGGCACCTGGGCCCTCTGCAGGGGCTGTTATTGTCTCTGCCCCTGCCTCAGTCACTAGAACCCCAGTCCTGGGGCTCTGCTAGTCCCCAGCCCAGAGTCAGAAAGAGCCTGGAAGTGACAGCTCTGTGGACTTCAAGGAGTGGCCTCTCTGGGTAGAGAAGCCAACAAGGCCCTCAAGGTCCCTGCCCTCCCGAAGCTCACATGCTGGGAGCAGCGAGACACAGACAATGGGCTCATTGCCCTCCACTCTGACCCCTCCTCCTGCAAGGCTGGTTTATCCTAGGAGCCATCCTGCCCTGCAGATCCAAGCTTCCAGCAGGCAGAGACTTGGCCTTGCACACAGCTACGTCCCCTGAATTTGGCACCAGACAGGGCAGGTGCTCCACAGACGCTGCCTGGATGAATGGGTAGGTGGGTGGGTGGTGAATGGGTGGGGAATGGCTAAATGGATGGATGAACCCAAAGCAGCTTTGGGACTCAGGATGGCCATGCTCTGTGGCCGCCCAGGCCATGGTGGGACCCTCCTCCTTCCCTGGCTCTGAGGTGCTGACTCCTTACCTGTAAGGCCTCAGGCTCGTGTGTCCTGCTGCTCTTTGCTGGAGCTGAGCCCTGGACGGAGGGACCTCGCTGAGCGTCGCTGCCCAGGCTGTAACTCCTTCCCCTGCCACTGTCCTGCCCACACTGACGGAGGAGAGCGGGTGATAGATGGATTAGAAATAACAGCAGAACTAGCCACTGACTCTCATCATTGTGCTGCAAGAATTACCTGAATGAATGAACGCGAAGCCTCTGGTCTCGCACTGACTTCGTAAACGATTTCCACTCACTGACTATTGTTATCCCATCTCTCAGCGGCTGGGCATTTAGCAGGTGCCAGCAGGTGCTGGCATTTTTGCTGTCTTTAGAGGCCAGGTTTTTGTTGCCATCACAGAGCCGTTGTCATTTGAATTCGCTGATTTCTGTGCTTATCCGGGGTGTGGCTCTCCCTCTGGTCCTGGTCAAGAGAGATCTACTTGTCAAATAAGTGTCAACAAAAGCAAAATCTTGTCCACCGGGTGCTGGGTCCTTTCCCCGCTCTTATCTTACTGTTTTCCTCCCTGGCCTCCTTGGCAGGAGAGAAGGTGAGAGCACAGTGGCCTGGCCAGGGTCACAAGGTACAAAGGTGTGGCCAGTGCTCCCAGCCTCTTGCTGGGGATCAGAGCCCCAAGCTGACTCAGTCGCCAGCACCCTTAGTGCTATCACCGCATGTGTGGGGCACTGAGTTCTCCTGGGCGTCTCTAGGACCACTTCTAATGGCCTCTCAACCACCCCATGAGCTGGGGGAAGCCTGGGGCTCAGACGACTCACAGGGGCCTGTGTCACACAGAGTGAAGGGCCTCCTGGTTCCTGCTGACACCCCAGCCGCCGGGGCAGGGCAGCCCTCTCAAGACACCATGGTGAGCATCTCTGAGTCCCCATCCTTCCTGCTGTCCTCCACCGCCCAACTCCAGCCTGAGAATGATCAGCTGGGAATATCAGAGCAGGGGTTGCCGGTGGGAGGTCTCTGAGTGAGCCTGAGACCCAGCCGCAGCAGCAATGATTTCCCTTCTGTAAACTCTGCATTTGTGTGTGTGTGTGTGTGTGTGTGTGTGTGTGTGTGTGATTGGATAGTGAACCTTGGGCCTTCACACTGAGCTACATCCCCTGCCCTTTATAAAGTTTTTTAAAAAAATATTTTTAGTTTTGAGACAGGGTCTTGAAAGTCACTCAGTTGCGCAGGTGAGGTTTGAATTTACAATCCTCTTGGCTCAGTCTCCCAGAGTGCTGGGATTATGGGCTTCAACTGTGCTCTTCACACAACTGCACAAAAGCAATGTGAATCACAGATGATGTTCTTTGACTGGATGAGTACCCAAGCCTTGTGACTTCTTAGTGAAAGTTTCTTGTTTAAAAACCACCTTGGCAAACAACCGGGCACGGTGGCACATGCCTGTAATCCTAGAACTCAGGAAGCTGAAGCAGGAGGATGGCTGCCAGTTTGAGACCAGCCTGGGCTACAAAGTGAGCTGAAGTCCACCTGAGCTGCAGAGCGAGACCCTGTCTCAAAAGGACAAATAAATAAGTGACAAGTAATAATAAAATAAAGTAAAAATAAAAACCACCTTGAGGGGTGATTGGATCCAGTGGAGGATGTAGTGAAATTTGTTCTTTGAGATTCCTGTGAGTTAAAGAGGCTGGGTCTTAATGTTTTTCTGGTCCCACTATGCCCAGGTAGGGCTGTCAACAGGGTCAGACTAGTGTCCTCCCTTGTCCCACCTTGGGCCCTGGAACAGCCCCGACCTCAGCTGTGGACCTGTGCCGAGTCCCTCCGAGACCAACTCAAGCCTCACCAGCTCAGGCCAGAGCTGCCAGGCCCTTGGGGGTAGAAATGCCAGACACAGAGCCAGCACTGGGCAGTGAGGAGGAACACGAGCCACGTGGTCCCATCATTCCCAGCACTCATGGTGGCAGCGGGAGAGAGGATTCCTGTCAGTAACACTGCGCAGTAGGCAGTCCGCCCTCCACACCCACGGGTTCTGCATCCAGGATCCAAGCAACCGTGAGTAGAAATCATTTGGAAAGTGGAGTGTGATGGCACTTGCCTATGGTCCCAGCCACACAGGAGGCTGAGGCAGGAGTGTCACAGAGTGAGGCCAGCTTGGTAATTTGTGGAGAGCCTGTCTCAGAATGAAGAGGACTCGGGGTGTAGCTCAGCGGTAAGGCACCTGCCTGCGATGTCCAAGGCCCTGGATTCACTCATACACACAGAAGGAGCAAAATATTCGGGACGCATCGCAGCTGCCTTGTACAGGTGTAGGCTCTTTTTCTCCTCATTCCCTAAACAACACCACCTGACAGCTATTTACATGGCATTTGCATTGTATCTGGTAGCAAAAATCACACAGGAGACTCTGGCAGATCCCACAGCATGTATATTAGGAATTTGAGCACCGTGGACTCGGGTTCCCGAGAGGCCCTGGCACCAAGCTTCAGATGCCGTGAATACAAAGGCAGAAAAATGGCATTTCCGTGGGCCTAGGGAATAAAAGGAGATTGGGGCTTTTTTGTTCTGGGCCTTTTAGCCTTCCTAAAACGTGTGTCTCGCTGCATTTAAAAACAACGGTAGCAGCAGCACCTAACCCAGCAAGACCTGGCCCTGCAGAGCAGCCCAGGAAGCAAACAGCTCCGAGTTTAGCACCCTGCCGTTTCTCACAGAGCCGGGCCTGGAGCCCAGAGCTGGGGCCGGGGAGCCCTGGAGGTGTGCGCTGTCTCACGGGTGTGACAGGTGTGTGTACAGGGAGCTGAGAAATGTCATCCTGGGCCGAAGCCACTGGATTGGGGCCGGAGAGGCCAGAGCTGGAGACTCATTTCCTGGCTTTTGAGGGCAAGCTGCTCTGGCCACCTACGGCACACAAAGCCACCTTGCCCCACGATCGATCGATCCCCTCTTCCTGCCTTTTGTCTGCCTTTTGCCAGCCCGGAAACGGTCTGAGACTTGCAGAACTTGCTTCAGAAATGCTGCTTTAAATGGATCCAGCTTTTGTTCTAAGTGGATGCTTCCCACAGCCTCCTGAGTCACAGGCTGTTGGCAGAAGACAGGCCACATGGCAATGACAAGAACAGTCACATAAAGTACTTCCTACGTGCCAGGCGCCAAGGTGCAATCTCTCTCAATTCTCCCAACAACCCTGTGAGGAAGCCCCACGTTACAGATGAGGAAACCGAGCCTCAGACAGATAAAACGGTTCATCCCAAATCATAATTTGAGAGAGCCAGAGTTGGTGTTTTGCACTGTGCTACTGCACGCTCTACAAAACAAAGGTTAGCATTGTTTTGAATTCATAGGTCCACTCTGGGACTCTCACTTTTAAAAAACCCAGATTCCTAAGTTTCCCATTATTATAGAACAGTGTTGCTCAGCACGGGGGTGGCGTTCTGAGACACGCATCCTTCCAGGAAGCTGTGATTGCATGAACTGCATGTGCTCTCTTAAAGGGACCTACCTGGACAAGGACACCACTGGCCCTGCTCTCCTGGTGAACCAGAGACATAGCAAGCAGGAGGCTTTTTGAAGTAGAAGTACACTGGAATAACGATAAAAGTACAGGATGGTTTTTGGTTTTGGGTTTGTTTTGTTTGTTTTTTAGATAGCGTCTTTCTAGGTAGTTCAGGCTGGTCTCAAACTCAGATTGATCTCCTTGTCTCCGCTTCCCAAGTGCTATCACAGGCATGCGCCATGACACTTGACAAAGGACACTGTGGTAAATGCACGCATCAGGGACACTGAAGTTTCTTTTTATCTTTGTGTTGAGTGTGCTGTGCTGGGACTGTGGTGGCTTCCGGGCCACCAGGCAGTAGGAACCTCTCGGCTCCATCGTGAGTGGGACCACTGTCTCGCATGCAGTTTTCCTTGACCAAGCATCGTGCCTGCCATTTCCTGATCCTATGAGAAGCGCTAGGAGCTTGCTTTCCAGGTTGGTGAGGAAGAACCAGAGAGGTGGCTGCCTTGAGCCACAGCCCAGGGACCTTGTCTGCCTCCAGCCTTCCCACTCTTTTCCATTCATCCATCATCCATCCACTCACCCCTCCATCCACCCGTCCACCCATCCATCTACCCATTCATCTACCCACTCATCTGTCCATCCACCCATCCCTCCATCCACCCACCCACCTATCCATCCATCCATCCATCCATCCACTCATCCATCGATCCATCCATCTATCCATCCACCTATTTGTCCATCTATCCACCCATCCATCCATCTATCCACTCTGTCCACCTATCCACCCATCCACCCATCCATCCATCCACCTACCCATCCATCCATCCACTCATCTATCCATCCACCCATCCATCCACCCATCCATCCATCCATCCATCTATCCATCCATCCATCCATCCATCCACTCATCCATCTGTCCATCCATCCACCCATCCACCCATCCACCCATC